CTTCTCCACACATAGGTGCAATATCCAAAAGTTGATCTCCTATCAATAAATGAGTCAGCCAAATCTACAACAGCATCCATCTTTATATTCTTTTATGTGATCTTTTGAAAGAGTAAGTCTTTACCTGGTGTAGTTTTTAGATATCCGAGAATTTTGATGACTACTTCAAGGCATTTCTTATAGGATGATGCATAAATTGAATTACCAAACTCACAACAAAGGCATTAAATTGTGGTATATGTGATAAGTCTATCAATTCGCCCACCAATTTTTTATACCTAACTATATAAACTAAATCAAATTTCTTCCCATCTCTCAATTTCTAATTTGGATTAACAGGACTGCCTACAAATCTACACCCACTCATCCCAATTTCCTTGAGAAGAACTTACTTCCGCTGGAAGATAACAATTCTTTTCTTCAATCTCAGGGTTCCAAGGCTTTGAAATGCATCATTTCTATGAGAATAATATTATCCACATACACAATCAATATGATTAATTCTCATCATCTGAATGTATGAAGAAAATTGTACAATCTCCATGCCCTTGAGTATAACCCTGATCTTTAATAATTACTTTAAATTTCTCAAATCATGCTCTAAGTGACTGCTTCAACCCGTATAAGAATTTTTTCAATTTACACATTTTTGTGCCCAACTTCTCAATCTTGCAGTTGCGTCCATATACATATCTTCCTCCCACTCCCCATTCAGGAAGGCATTTTTTACATTTAATTGTTATAAAGGCAAGTCAAGATTAGCTGTAAGAGACAGAAAAACTCTTACAAAATTGAGCTTTGCAATGGGGGTCAATGTCTCTAAATAATTAATGGCATAGGCCTGAGTGAATTCTCAGGCTACAAATTGAGCATTGTACCGTCCTAGAGAGCTGTCAGAATTATATTTGATTGTGAAGACCCATATGCAACCGATAGTTGTCATTCCGCTAGAAAGATCAATCAATTCTCATTTGTCATTTTTTCTAAGAGCTTTAATCTCTTCGAAAATAGTCTCTTTCCATTAGGGGTTTTCAAAGCACGTAGTTCTTAGAATTTTCATACATTAAAATTATGAAGTAAAATCACAAAAAGAGGGTGTGAAGTTTCCATACGACGTATAGAGGGAAAATGGATGCTCGGTGGAAAACTTTTCCCCAATGGGATGACTAAACTCATTCGAATTGGGTTCAGATTCACAGTTAGAAGACCCAGAACTCGAAAAGGAGATGCCCTGAACATGGGGTAAATAATTAGTGAAGACATTACCTGGTGTGTTTGCGGATTTGGGGAAGTGTAAAGAATTTGTAGATTCATTCTTTTAAGTTGTCCTCTGTTATGAATAGACAAAATCAAATGGTCTCATTGTCGTAGTTTTTTCTATTTCTTCTTTGTTACGAACAGTCATAAGATGGAATGGTAGAAATTTCAATATCTAAAAGGCTCGACGCATTCTCTACTGATAAGATTTTGCTAAGATTTTCAGGTGGAATGCTCAAGTTTTGAGATATACTATTTTGTGGGAGTCTTCAGTTTAAAAAAAAAATCCTTAAATTCGTTGGAAAAATCTTTATTTTTTTCTCTTCCTTAAATATGAGGTGAAAAAAATAGTTGAAGTTAAAAAAAAGTGACATCTATGATAACAAATATTTTTCTAGCAGTAGAATCAAAGCATTTATAACTTTTTTGGCTAGGAACATAACAACCAAACACACAATTTTTTGCTCGGCGTTCAAATTTGCCTTAATGATAAATGTGAATGAAGCAGTAAACCCAAATATCCTCAGAAAATGAGAAGATGAAAGTCGATTCTTCGAAAATTTTATTTAAAAAAATATCAAAAGATGTTTCAAAGTTTAAGACCTTATTCGATGATCTATTTATGAGAAATGTAGCAAGAAAAATGGCTTCACTCCGAAAATATTTAAGCACCTGATTGGTAATTAGCAGAGCTCAAGCTATCCCCAATAAGTGCTTTCTTTTCCTTTCAGCCAACTTATTTTATTGTGAAGTGTCATCACATGATGAATTATTCTTTTTTTAAAGAAATAATTGACCTAAAGTGTTTTTGAAATACTCTAGACCATTGTCACTCCATGTATTTGAAAGGTTGTTTCAAATTGATTTTGTAACATGATGTAAAACTTTTTAAAAATTATTTCTATTTAAGATTTTTCTTTCATTAAATAAACTTAACATAGAGTGATTATCAATAAAAATCACAAACCATTTTCTTTCGGAGTTAAGGGTTTTACAAGGACCCCAGATATTGCTATGAACCAATTTAAATGATGTATTAGGTTTTTATATTTCTGGAAAAAATAATGTGTGTTGATGTTTAGCAAACTGAAACACTTCACTTTGAAACAACATATTTTTATTCTGAAATAACTGAGGATTATTTTTTATGATGAAAATTGGAATAACCTAACTTATAATGTCATAACATAATCTTATTACCTTTAGAATAAACAAAATTTTAAAAAGCATTTTGACATTATTTATTCGAGTTCAGTCCATCTTCAAATAATAGTCCATATTTTTTTCCTTAGCACTGTCAATTATCCTCCCCATGATCAATTCCTGAAACTCATAGCAAAAAGAATAGATTTTAGTTTGGCATTGGTGATCAGTAGTAATTTTACTAATAGACAACAAATTACATGATAGAATAAAATTATGAAGAATATCGCAAAGGGTTAACAATGAGGAGAGTTTGACAGTTCTCTTCCTGATAATTATCAAGAGAGAATCATCGACAATTTTGACCGTTCCATTGTCTGCATAAAATCTATAGGTGGAAATAAATTTAGAGCCTATCACATGATCAATTGAACAAGAGTTAGTTATCTAAGAATCAAAAAAACTAGGAAAAACACCTAACAAAGCAGCAAAAAAGAGTTATCCATTTGTACTAAAGTGCAAGACGGAATCAAGAATAATAATGAAAATTGAAATAAATTTTGCAACTGTTACAATTGCTCCTTGGTGAAAGGGATTGCATTCAAGTTAGTAGACGACTCTTAGAGTTTTTTCAGTAGCAAATTGATAAGCTCGACCTAGACGCTTGAATTTTAATTTCAAATTTACAAGTTTTTCATGAAGCTTCAAACATGTCTCCTTCGTGTGCAATAGTTTATGCAATGCTCGCACTATGTATTTTTCGCTCTAGACAAAATAGGGGATACTAAATCCAACAAAAAGAGTTTTGGTTAATTTCACCAATTTTTCAAAATACTCCATCGGATTATTTACATTGATTCCCTTAATCACAACAAGTTTTTTCAATATTCAAGTGTCTTAACTATCTCAGAACTAGATAATCATTGGCACCTTGGATTCCTCTCGTCGAGCCGCTCAACTTGAGTAAGAATGCTAAATTTTGAGATCGTTTAGCATTCCAATTGATGCAACAAAACTTCTTATTATATTTCAAATGTTTGATTTGGGCTCATTTGGACTCGGATTGGATCACTTTCGATGTCAGAGGCTCAGTTTGACAATAAATATGTTAAAATTGAGCCTCGAATGATCTTGAATTTGAATTTAGAATATCTCTTGCTAAAAATACATCAATATTCGTGTTCGAAGGAAAAAAAATTTTAATGACACAACAATGAGAATTATACTTACTTTGTGTTCACATGATTATTTAAAAGTGCTTAATAAGCCACTTCCAAGACACTAATTTTACAATAATATTTTTTGTGTAATAAAGAGAAAACTAGTTCTATTAAAGTTGATTATATTACAATACAAAGTTGTATCGCAAATCCAATAATTGGAATAAAGTAGATAAAATAACCAATTTTACTACATCATTAGATTTGCATATGAGTTTGTGAGTAAGATAGGTACTTTGATACAAATTTGGTATGCCTACTGGGGTGAGTTCGCGTAGTAAGATCATTGGATCTAAAATTTGAAAGATCTTAAAGGGATAAGTACATATCCACCCAGCCAGACATACCAACCGTCTCTTGTATCATGCAGTTGTTAAACATTCCTAATTGTCTAGCTAAGGACTTCAAGTTTCAATATTATTTAAATGGGCTGCTGCGACTTATAAGTTGAAACAAAGAAAGACTCAATAATCCAATTTAACACCATATTTACTACTTTATGAAAGAAGAGTACCAAGAGGTTTAGATATTGTTTATTTTCAATGAACAAAACAATCATATCACCACAACATCATTTCAATCTAAAATTGCTGTCACAAAAAACCTAATGAATTTCTCTAATCAACCAGATGATCCAACACAATTAAGTACCCTAAAAAGTTAGACCCAAGCCTGTAATTCAAGTTCATGCAGGAAGAACTGTTCAATTAACTTAAGAGGTTACCAAAGCATCTAGACATATAATTCCGTGTTTATCATTAGATGCATTAGCATATATCTAAACTAGTTGTCCCAATCCTATATGAATCCTTGTGCTAGACCCCGCTAATAAAGCTATAATAGGTGTTAAGTATCTTTACAACTTTCACAATTTCTAGTTCTGTTTACAGTGGTTAACCAACTTTGTTACAAGATAAATTCTATCTGCTTGCTCCTTTTTGTCACTATTACTCATATCAAAATTATCAAGTCTAGTTTTCACAACATTTAAGATTTAAACATTTTTCTACAACCTTACTAGTTCTAACAAAAGTCTACTGTAGTATTCACATTTTTGAGCACTCAACTTGGCTATCAAAGATTTCCAAGAACTATTGATCTATGTTCATAGTCCATCTTAAGTATGGAGATCGCCAATTGAAGTTGGTGATATTGATAAAACATGACCTGATAAATTCCACATTACCGGTAAAGACTATGCCCACAACGAGCTAGGATAAAGCTAATGTTGATGGGATTTTTGCTTAAGATGATAATAATATAAGCTTTAACATTCTCAGCCAAAAGAGGTACAAAAAATTAAAACAGCAGAAAATAAGAGAATTGTGTAGGGATAATAAGATTGGCTGTCAAAACTTGAAATGGTTGGTAAAATCTCACCAATTGCCATACAAGACTCTGCATTTCCTTCTTTCCTGCTTCTGTTGTTCGCAGCCAGTGCCACCATTTTGATGGATGCACTACCTGGATCCTTTTCACATTTTCATACATTTCATCAATGTTTAATGAGTTTACTTCCTCTGCAGTATACATCAGCTTTGACAGGGATAAGCCTTCGGTGTGGAACACAAGCCATATCTCATTTGACTCGGATTCAAAAGATTCTACAAAGCGAGCTATATGTTCTAAACCTTCTTCACAGTTAGCTTTTGTCTTGAAATTCCCAACATCTGTGCTCCCAATATCATATTTACATGTTTTCACCCAAACATCAGAGATATCATTCCATATCAAGTTGTCAGAATGGACTTCATCTTCCATTGAAAAAGTAGTAGATAATCCTGTCTTTCGTAATTCGTGTAATGAAAAGGAGGCATTTAAAAAAATTTCACCAAAGTACTTTTCACGCAGGCCACTTAAGTAAGCACCACTTCCTCGCTCCACCTGAATAGAAAGCACACTTCTAAGAAAATACTACATATCAGAAATGTGCTATACTGCATAAAGATGCTATAATGAGCTCAATACTTAACAATCAACAGTGAAAAATTGATCAACTCAACTAGATTTCTATTAAAATTTAAGAGCACATTTGTAGGAAAAAAAAAGAAAGCAGTAGCCCTATTTATAAAGTTTTATAATAAATAAGGTCAAGAAGTAAAAAAACCAAGAAAAAAAAATATGACAACTTGAAAAACTAATATGGAAAGATTATCTCCATTATTTATGCGTCCATTAATTCCGCCTCCATCAATATGGCATCAAACACAGTCCTCCATCTTCCTTAATTTAAGCCACCTGAAAGATACATAGCATTATTACTATCATCTCATCAATCTAAGACCTATTTATTTTGTAATTATTATTTTATCCACTCTCAATTCATGTACTATTGTCAATATTTTCTTCCTGATTTTGTATTGTTTCTTTTACAAGCTCGCTTAGTATTGTATAAATACCATATGAATGTTTGAATTAATGATGCGGGGATCCCTAGGAGTTGGACAGGCCGGGATTAGCCGAACCGGTTCAACAAAGGGGTGTAGGGGTTGGTTCTTGTTATGGGCTAGGGTTGCCGCACAAGGGGAGGGCCACTTCTCCAATAAATACCATATGAATGTAGGGATGTCACGTTACCTCCTCCGGAGGAGATTTGGATAGGCTCTAGTCATACTGGTTACTAGCAGTCAGTTTTGCTTGAAAAGCATCCATATTATTGTATACATTGCAGCATGTTTGGTCATGATTCTGATCATTGTTTTCATTTACATCATGAATTAAGGAAGTTTCCTACCACTCGACTGCCCCCTGGCGAGCAGAAATCTACTCTTCCTACTTCCTCCCAACCATCTATGCAGGCTGCTGATGCTGTCATGGTTTTGGTTGACCCTCTAACCGTGGATGTTGCAGCTGTAGGGGGTTTGAATGATTTGCCTGCTCCCTCTTTAGATGCTACCAGGATGCCTCCTCCTGTTAGTGTGGAAGTTGAGGTGGCTCATGTGTCTTTTCCCGTGGATGTTACAATTGGTAATTTTGATGAACCCTCTGTTTTCCCTGAACTTCAAACCGAGCCCTCCACTCACATACTTACTGTATCACCCAATCAAATTGAAACTGTTGATCCCGCTCAGCCTTCAACTACTGGGGTTACTTCTTCACAACAATACCCATCACCATTAGTTGTTTCTGCCTTAGAATCTGAATGGCAAATTCAGAGATATAGCATAAAACGAGGTAGAAGGAAATCTGAACTTCCAAAATTGACAACCAAATATTACTGATATCATTTATCACTCAGAAGGTGAGCACTTGCACCTACCCCCTAGGATTGCTAGGTGGGAGGATGTCATGGGTCATAATGTTTAATGTTTTGGTGTGGAACATTAGAAGAGTGGCGGACCCTCACTCTTTTAATTGTTTAAAGCATTTATGAAGGGTCCATAAACCTGATATTCTTGTTCTTTTGGAGCCTCTTGTCTCGATTCATAAAGAAAATATCATTAAGAAGCTCAAGGGTTATTTGCATTTCTGCAATGTGAACAACAAAATTTGGTTATTTTGACAGAACAATATCACTGTTAATATCATTGATGACAATGTGCAATATGTTTTCATTCAATATCAATTTGAAATATTTTCTGGTTGGGCTACATTTATTTATGTCAGCTCTCTTTTAAGGGATAAACTCCTTCTTTGGCAACAACTTACTCATATGGGAGTTGTCATTACTGATAACGGGATAAAATCCTTCTTTGGCAACAACTTACTCATATGGGGGCTGTCATTACTGATAATTTGTTCGTTGGAGGTAATTTAAATATGATTATGTCGCCTACAGAGAGATGGGATGGTGTTAAGGTTGACACAAGTCTTATAAATCGTTTTTGTGAACACATTGAGGAAACTGACCTTAATGACTTAAGTTTTTCTGGCCCTCCTTATACTTCGCGAAGAGGTTTTCGTATGCAACGTTTGGACAAATTTTTGGGAAACTCTCAGTTTTTGAGCTACTACAATATTATATAAGTCAAACATTTGAATCATGCTGCTTCGGATCACAATCCTATTTTGCTTACTTTAGTTTTTCATTCCAAACCTTCTCTCTATCATTTTAAATTTCTTAATGTGTGGGCTACTCACACCACTTTCATTGATTTAATTAAGCAGGCTTGGGTTTCTAGAGGAAGTGTTTCTAGAGGAAGTGGGAATC